AGTTGTAAGTTTGCAAGTCTGAAGCCGTGTGATCCCTGCAGATAGAGAAGTCTGTTAAACTAATAGACTTGGATTGCATTTCTGGAAGGGAGGTTGTACAGTTTGGGTTGCTTTGCCTTGCTGCTCTGATTCCTATGTAGAGCCAGACATAAGTATAGCTCACCTCAGCCTCTTTCTTATTTCTTGGATTAAAAATCTTAGTGAAGTTGCAGATTTTTGACTTAAGATCATCGGGCTCCTTTTCTCGGATCTTCAGATCTGAATGATTTGTTTCCAAAAGGCTTTATCTGTCTTTAACGGTGCTTTGTAAACGGAGTGGCCGGATCCGGCTGAGATCAAAAGGTTCCCATCAGATTAAGGGAGGGGGGTAAATAGCTCTGCCGAGACCCCTCTCAGAACTCAGACACAGAGCTGTGGCATTAGCAAAGCAGACATTGGACTTCTCTCCAACCATAGCTACTGGCCCTGTCACACTCCAACAGGAGCCTTGTACCGTGTTAGGATGCTGATATCCAGTATCCCTCTGTCATTTATGCTGGATAATTGCAAACTGCATGGAGAACGTACATCCGAAGCACAGCAAATAGAAAGGGGAAATATCCGTCAAGGTATTGTTCCAACAACGCATTTGTTAGGGGGTCATCAGAAGAGGGTAGGAAAAAAAATTGGTGCTTCTTGGCTTGACACTCCCTAAAACCTTCTTTCATTTCCGTCTTCCTCCTCATCCTCCCCAAAACAACCCTCACATCAAAGTGCTTGGACTGCAAAAATTTGCAATCTTGAAATACAATTCCACGATTGTTACATCTCCATCCCCAAAAGTCTCACCGGAGTCAGCTAAGCTGTTTCCTAAGGATCTGCAGTCCCCCTTAAAGTAAATGAATGGTGCAGGTGTTCAGCAAATTTAGAGATTTGGGACAACCTGCACTTTCCCGTTCCACAGTGCAGTGTCAACAGCACAGCCAATACTTATCATTCATTCTCAGCTGTCAAAGGACAGGCACAATATTTGCCCAACTTTTTTTGATGACTGGCAATCTTTGGATGCTCTGTATTAAATTAGCTTTAAATAGCTTATTTTGCTGGGGATGTGGTGATTGAAATCCGTGTACCTGCTGGCACAGCGTCCAGGGGACTCACATGATCGGCCCTGCATTCCCAGGTTATTCACGGAGGCTGCAGCCGGGAGACAGCGCGTGTGTGTCTGGGAGAGGGTGGGGTGGAATATTCATGCCATTGGAAACACTCACGTTGTTACTTAACAACTCCATTAACCTCGTGTCACAAGTCACGACCTTGTGCTGACCCTGGCGGGCAAAGCAGGGCAGCTCTGAAGTACAAAACATGAAAGTGCGAGAAGGAAGGAGCAGAGGAGGAGGAAAGCTCAGCTCTCCCTGGAAGGGACTTGCCAAGCCGCTCAGACAAAGCGCCGAACAAAGGCTGTGCACGGGCCATCCCGCCCAGGCGCTCACTGCCGGGGGCTGCCAGCGGAGCTTTCCACAGAGCTGCGGACTGACACGGCCTGTCAGCCGGGAGAGTCCCTGTCACGGACAGAGCAGAGGGGAGAGCCCCAGAGCACACGGATCGGAGCCTTTAGATCTCCTGCTCCTGTCCCTCTGCTCTGCAGCACAGCCCTGGGGGCACAAGTGCTGTGTTCAGAGCTGAGCCTGGAACTTCATCCCACCTCGATTTCAAAATCTGGGGGAAGGGGAAAACTTCACCAACCAAAGATGCTTTTCCTGTAGCTTTTTGTCCCAGGAGTCTTTTTGGTATCGGTGGGATGGTCACAAGCCCAACCAATGTCAGCATCAGGAAATGGGCAAAGTGACCCCAGTTTTAAGTGAGAAGGAAGAAGGTGGGATCTGATTGGCAAGGGTGGAAGGGCAACAGGAATTTGTTTGGCAGAGTAAGAACTGTTGCAAAAGTTCTGTGGGACCTGTAAAAAGGTACTTTGAAGGCAGGCTGGGAGTGTCGGTGAGAGCTGTGGAGAGGTGATGAGAAATTCCTCTTGGTGAAGAGCTCTGGGGGGAAACATCAACTCACAGAAGCTCAGACAAAGTGCTTTTTTCTTCCTCTTATTTTCCATCAGAGTAGCAACACAAGTGGTGACACCTGAGGATGGACAAGGGTGGTTCAGTGAGCATGTGAGGAATTAGTCACATGTTGTGCTGAGCACATATTTTGGTCAGAGCAGCTCAGTGCTCCAGGAACTCTGACCTGTGTGACCGAGGGCTCGGTTACTGTTTGCCCTCTCCAGAAAACACCAGGACAGGATGTTTCTGAGGAATTTCCATAAAGAGCCTTTCTAAAATCACTTACTTCAAAAAGAGGCCCTCGGTGCAAGCAGAGATTGGCTTCTGTTCTGAAGTTTGAGGTTTATGAAAATTGGTGTTTCTCTTTGATTTTCCAGGAGTAAATAATTACAGGTTTGACATCCGCAAGCTTTTAAGTATGATGAGTCACACCTCCAGCTATGAGATGGTTCATAAAATTCTCACTAGCATCAAAATAATAAACGCTGGGTTGTTTTTGCTTTCTTCCTGGATTTGCACCCTTTAGGGTTCCCGGGTTTGGGTTTTCTCCTTTGGCTGTCTAAAGTGAGCTCCTTACTGCGAAGCCTGTGCACGGCAAATTCCAGGAGTGAGGTCATCCAGAGAAGCTGGACAACCCTCAAGAATTGCAACAAAATCCTGACAACAAGCAAAGGAGGTCTGGCATGAAATCCTACCCAGTGCCCGTGTGCCAGCCCGGGAGGTGCCCCAGTGTATGGAGTGCTGTGTTCTCAGCAGGGCTGTATCTCCTGTTTGATCTCCAGGAGCACCAGAGAGCCCTTCCCGGCTGACAAGAGCCAGGCCGGGCCAGCTGTGCCACGGACCCTCCCACTTCCCGCTGCCGATCCTGCTCGAGGCTCAGGGCTGCTGGCCCAGCTCTCCCTGTTTACATGTTTCCAAATTCAAGGAGGAAAAGCGAATATCAAACAGGCCTGGCCCTTTTGAAGTGGCTAAAGGATGCTATCGGGTCCAGGGGTGTGCTGTGCCTTTGAGGCTTGTTTGTCTTTGCCTGGTCCCTCTGTGCAGGCCTTTAAGGAGCCATTCCAACCTTCAAAGCCATCCCAATCCCAACGGAGCAGCCCTGGCACCAGAGCCAGGGCTGGGTGTCCTGTGTCGAAACACTTTGCTGGGAGGTTTTCAGACGTGGAAGTTTCTTTATTCTTTTGCAATAAATAATTGGACTGAAATTAGTTACTGTCCAACAGGAAGAAAATAAGGGACTTGGTTTGGTTTTTAAGGAGGAGGTTTTGTCCCTCAGCACTGAGCTTCCTTTCTAATGTCAGCTGGAACGGTTTGGAGCCCTTTTCTCATACTCACACACGAGTAAGTGATGGTCTTAAAATGCATCCTACTCCTTTTCTCAGCTTTAGCTCGCTAACCAGGAGATCGCTGTGGCTTTTGGCCAGATCCTCGAATCACTGTGTGCTCCTGCTCTCTCCTGGTCAGAAGCTGGAATTGCTACTTAAGCACATAAGTCGTGTTGGAAGGAGAAACTCAAAGCACTTGGGATTTCTTGTGGCTTATTTTAGGAGTCTCACTTTGCCAAACCTTTTATAAGATTATAAAAAGTCTTTTATAAGTGAAAGAAGTGCTTTTGCTAATTAGAAAGCAGCGAGGAAAATAAAATTTTGAAACTCCAAATTCTTAAAGGAAGTGACAGTTTTGAATATCAATATTAGAAAAACAACAATTGAAAAAATTGCAATTCATTACTAAGAGCTTTTTTAAATCCAGGATCCGATTCTTTTAATAGGTTTGAGTCTTTTTATAGGTTTTCCAAGAACTAGAATAAAAGCAGCTCAGACATAGAATCACAGAATAATTTAGGTTGGAAAAGACCCTCTAAATCATTGAGTCCAGCACTGCCAAGGCCACCACTAACCCGTGTCCCCAGGTGCCACATCTACATGTCTTTTAAATCCCTCCAGAGATGGGGACTTCCCTGGGAGCCTCTTTCCCTGTGTCTGACACAAAGAGTCTGAAAATCAAAACAATCAACAATGTCTCTTGAGAGGGGAAAAAAAAAAAACAAAACAAAGTTTTTAAGTTTCATTTTCACCTTTTGTTTTTTGCTATAAAAATGCAAAAAGTATCAATTCTGTTTCTGTGAATAATTTTAGATATTTTTATTTTCTAGGCAGCTCCTTAACAACTATTTTGGTTTGTAGGTCAATTAGTTGTGCCCTGAATGGAAAGCAGCAGGAATTTTGCACTTTTTTAGTGTTGTAGTGAGTGAGTCCAGGTAACTATGAGAGGCAACAGGGTTGAAGTTTTAGAAAGAGATGGATTGTTTAGTACCTGGGCTTTACTCTTACTGTGAGCAGCCTTTTGGCTCCTACAAGATCTTCTTTGATTGCCAGACATCCTGGAGACCCCTGAAAAGTTCAGGGTACAGCAACAGGGGGAAACCGTCTTTTGTCCTCTGCTAAAATCATTTCCACATCCCTTTCCTTGCCTAGTAAGGGTTTCCTGGGTTGTTAAAAATCTCTGTTGGTACCACTGGGATGATTTTCATGTAGGAACAACCTCACAAAGGTCTGGACACCTGGTGATTGCACAGAGTGTCTCTAACAGACGAGATTCAAACATTAAAATGGTCAGCAATGTGAACGAGGTGGTTATGTCCTGGTATGGTTTATTCTTATACTTTGCTGTGTGATGTTTAGGAAGAGACGTTGGAAGCAGCCAGAGATGTTCTGGCCAGTCTTGGCCAGATGATACAGAGTATATTGAATCCTGCAAAAAAACATCTCCCCCACATTGTGAGATTTTGTACTTGATTAGTTATAAAGAATGGGCAGAGATTAGAGACTAATCTTTGATTGGATGCCTTTTAAGGGGGCAAAATGTTGTGTGATTTTTTTTTCCCTTGTAAGTATTGTCTTATACCAAAATATTCTCCTTCCCTATCTCCCGTAATTTGTTTTAAAATTGTTATCCTGGTCTTAGGGACATGGTGATAATTTCCATGACAACACAGAAAGATTCCAAAACCAGAGATTTCTGACTAAATATATGAAGGTTGTTGAAAAGCACAACCGCAAGAATTCTGCCTACTCACTGAGAATAACAGACAGAAGAGTTAAGGTCTGTGATCTCATCTTTGGAAACCAAAATGTTCTTTACATCGTGTTGATTTACTTCATGTGGGATGTTTTTAAAATTGGGTGAACAAGCATCTCTCCAAACTATAGCAATTTGTCCTTGATGTGCTGATGCCCAAAGCCTTGCTGGGTGTCAGGTCTTAAATTGGTCCTGATTCCAGGTGTAAATCCACAGAACAAACCCCCACAGAACCCAGGCTTTGTGACCAGGTGGCTGCAAAGAACTGAAACCCGTCCAACCCCCCATTTGAGCCAAGTGTAAAGCTGTGCTTAGACCCCACCCCAGTTTAAACCTCACATTTGGAAAGGTCCCAAAGCAGAGTCCCTGCCCCTGAGCTGCCACTGCCCAAGCTGGCTGAGGCACCTCTGCTGCAGCACCCAGCTCTCTTGGTGTCACATGGCTTCCCCCTACATTTATAGGGGCTTTCTGGAATTCCAACCACCACTCCCTGTGACAGGAACACCTCCACTGTGCTCCAGGTGTTCTGGGACAGGATCCTTCAGCAGGTACCAGTTTACAAAGACAATAAGTCCCTGTGCCTTGCCCAGGGGTGGCACCAGGGCCAATGACATGCAGCTCCATGTTGGGGAAGGAGTTTGGAATAGTTTAGGATTTAGAAAAGCCCTCACTGGAAGTGATGTTGATTATCCCAGTGTTCTGCACCCACATCTGGCAGTGACTAACAGTTCCTAATTTATGCTAATAGCTTCCCCGAGTCAGATGGGGATGGTTGGCCCTTCACACTGCCCTGCTCTTTTATTGTGGTTCCCCTCCAGAGATCACCAAACAATGCAATTTAACCTGGGGGTTGTTCCTGGGAGAGAGCTGCCCACTCCTACCTTTCTGCTGCCTCCTAAATGCTCCCTTTGCATGGCAAATAATGCAAATCAGGGCTGAATTTTTGCCTTCCCTAATTGCAAAGCTGGTTACTCTTCTGTGTAAACAAGCTGATGGTGTTTTATTTGCTGACAGAAAAAAAAAGGATTGGGCCAGTTTATATTTGGGAATGCTTGGGGTTTTGTCGGTGGCTCATGGGCTAAGCCTGATGGAGACATTCGGTTTCTATTGAATGTTGGAAAATAACAAGATTTTGGAGAAAAAATCCTGAATCTTCTTGGTGTGAAGTGTTTGGTTGGGCTCTGATCCCCTGATTTTTCTGCTGTTACATTAATAAAACCTGTAAGTACCAAATGAAAACAGATTAATTGCATGCTGTCACCCAGCAGCTTTGGTTCTGTTTTACAAAATTTTCTGTAGCTACTCACATCTCTAAAAGGCTGTAAAGTGCCACAGTGCTCTATTGGTGGAATTCCATATATCTCACCTTTCCTTCTAGAGGTAGAAATAATTCCAAAGGTGGAGGAAAAGGGACTTTTGCATTTATTTTTTTCTGTGTCAAGTCTTGCACCCTGAGGAAGTCCAGAAACTGTGTATCCTTGGATATGGCAGCATCCAGGGACACCACTCCTGTGTCTCCAGCACAGCACAAGGATAATGCTCGGGTTTGGGGCTTGGGGGAAAAAACAGCTGGAAAGGGTTGGAGGCATGTGCTGCACTACGGGAAGTCCTGGATTCTCCTGAATCAGTTCCCAGCCTTTCCTTGTTTATCCTGGTGTGCCTCAGGTTGCTCTGTTCCCTCTAATCAGGCTTTCCACAGAGTTCCTTTGGAGGTGTCAGTCACATTCCAGGGAATTGTTCAGTCAGAGACACTAATTTTCCCTGCAGCCTCTGTGTGTGTGACAATGCTTGTACCACGTGTAAAGTCCCGGGATTCCCATCTCCTGGTTATCCCAGATATGCACAGGGATGGGAACTGGGCATCCTCTCTACTTGGGTGCTTCAGGAACTGATCCAAAGAGAAACCTCTGGCTGGACAACTGTTAAAGAGAATGTGACTCGGGGAAAAAGGTAATCCATCTTTTCTTACGACAGACTCTCAAGTTGGATCAGCTTCCCGGATTTGCAGTGATCCAAAGGACATTGGCTTAGCCTCATGACTCCTTTTCATTCCATAATAGCCTGTGGGATTTAGTGATAAGGAACTGTCACTAAAGACTTGTCATCCTGAGCCAAAAATCTGTTCACAAGAAGTGACTCCTGCCAAAGACTTGGTTCTCTAAAGTCTCGGACTTTGGTCTCCAAGTGTTGTGGAATGTCATGGGCTCCAAATGCAGGAGGAAAACCATATTTGCAGGCAGAGTTTTCACTTGGTTCTATCAGTGGGGACACTGAGTAGAATAAATAAAGGAATTCAAGAACAGACTGTATTTAGCTCTAATTAAAGGGCAATCTCAAAATTTGCCAGATTCAGTAAGTAGTGTATTAGCTCTGTCTGTCACAGCCCGCACAGTCCATTTGGAAGCTGAGTGAATTCCTGGAGGCACATAAAAACCTAGTGTGTTTTACATGGTATTTTACCACACAGAGTTTGGGATGAGCAAAGTGCTACTTATGCCCTGATTCAGGTGCCTGTTGCTCCTGTGCATTTTGGGGTGGTCCTCTGTGGTGGCAGGAATTGCCCCTCGGGGACTGCAGTTACACAGCTCCCAGAAGCACTGGGCTGAGAGCAAGGGAAAACTTTGGGAGCGGTTCGAGGAAGTTACACCCTCAGCTGACTTTGCCCCTGGTGTCTCAAACCAAGAGACTCTGAAATATGGGGTGATTTGATAGAAAAAAAACCCAGAAATATGATGCAGTTGTACCCTTGGCACTGCTGCTGTGGCAACTCATTGGTGCAGCCTTGGCTGAGGGGTTTTGTGCCACTGAAAGAGCCCCTGGGGGCTTTTGGTGCCCAGCCTTAGACCATCCACTGTTAGGGGTGTTATTTGTCCCGCTTGTGTTAATCAAAGAGATAAATGTAAGCCTTAAAATATGTGGGCTAATCTGATCATATCAAACCTATTTCAGATGAAAATTTAATTAAAAATGTGTAATCTCTTCATCAAAGGAACTAACAAGGCCTCTCATTATGCCTTCACAGTAGAAGTTCAGGCTGATGCAAGAAAACCCCTAGTAACATGAAGGGAGAGTTCATCTGTCCACACAAGATATTTGTCAGGCATTTGCCACATCAGAGATTTGTCCAGACTCTCCTTATAGGATCTTTTAGACAAGATTTTTCTATCTATTGTATAAGGTTAATATATATGGTGTCTCCATATTAGGGAAAAATAGGCTCTCCTCTGAGGCACAATTCATCTCACCCTGGCAGAGATATATCCAGATGTCCAAGATAAGACAAAGTGTGCCCTTCAAGTGCTCATTTCTCCTAGTTGTAGAGAGAAGCTGGAAAACTAGCCTTCAGCCAGATTTCTGTGTGCTCTGCAGACAGAGCTCCTGACACTAATTTGGGCTGTGCAGCCCTCCGGAGTGCCAGCAGATAATCCAACTCTTTACCTGTTAACAAGTACAGAACATCCTCCCTGTGGGTTGTCTTTAATGCAGATGAATAATTTCAACCAATGGTACAGCCTTAGACATAACTCAGGGAACTTTCATGACTTATGCATGGCTGTAGTGTCACCCAGGAAAAGGCAGAGAAAACAACTAAAAATTCGGGACAAATCCAAGGAATTCAGTAAGAAAACCCCCAGTGGGATTCCTGAGCCTAATTGCTTTGCTGTATTTTCCCTGTAATTTATGGCACCCTGTCCAAGCATTAACCATCCTGGCAGTGCTCCAGCAGGCTGACAGGGTACATGTTAAAACCCAGCCAGCCTTCCAAAGAGATCAAGTTTCTCCCTCCCCACTCCTCCCTTCCTTTCCCTGTTGTATCTTCAAAAGGAAAAAGGCCCAGTGGTAACTCCAAGCTGAGGATTGAGGCTTTTCACAGCCTGGTCACATCTCTGCTCCATGAAGTGCTCAGTGTACCATCAGTCCTTCAGAGATTTGGTCAAAGTCTTCATTTTAAAGTGAGGAAACAAGAGGTTTTTTGAGGGAAATGTGTTCTCCCTGGCTCTGAAACTTGCCAGTGCCGGGTTCTAAGCCAAGACTTCTCTTGAACATGGCTGGCGTCCCTTGCTGTCTGCATTAGCACTGCTCTGTGGGAATGCTGGAGCTTCATTTCCCCAGCTCAGGGGTGATCTTGGGTGATCACAGACAACTGCAGATACAGAGGGTCACCTCCAAGGCCTTCAGAGAGCAGGTCATGAGGTGTGCCAAGGGCTGCAGATGGAGGGTAAGTCCTGTCCTGTTCAGTTGGAGCAGAGGAGACTGAGGGGAGACCTCACTGCAGTTCCAATGCCTGGGCAGGGGCAGAGGAGGGGCAGGGACTGAGCTCTGCTCTGGGGGGACCAGGGACAGCAGCCAGGGAATGGCTGGAGCTGTGTCAGGGCAGGCTCAGGTTGGATCTCAGGCAAAGGTTCTTCCCCCAGAGGCTGGTTGGGCACTGCCCAGGCTCCCCAGGGCAGTGGGCACAGCCCCAAGGCTGCCAGAGCTCCAGGAGGGTTTGGATGATCCTCTGGGGCACAGGGTGGGACTCTTTGGGATGGGCCTGTGCAGAGCTGAGGGTTGGACTCGATGGTCCTTGAGGGTCCCTTCCAACCCAGCATATTCTGGGATTCTGGGATAACAGAACCATTAGCGTGGAAATACAGGAGTGGTCCATGGAAGGTCCATCCATGCACATCTCCCTGACCTGATCAAGGGCAGTGTGAGCTCCCAGTGCCCACACACACCAGGCACACACTGACAGGCTCCTACACGGATGGTTCAGCTCAGATCAGGAGAGAAAAATGATAAATGAGCGGTTTAAAAATGTGGCTAAACAGAGCTCCTCTTCCTCCACCAGGATGTACAAAACCACTGTGGGGAGCCTTGCTGATGGAGAGCTGGGATACACAATAAATCTCTAGAGTCTGGAAGCAAGCAGGCTCACAGTTTGTAAGCAGGAACATCTTTGGTTACCAGTAGGTGTCATTGCAGGTTTGTGGACACTGGGCCCAGCACTTGTGACATGGTCACAGCCATGGCCAGGCTTCTTGGAACTCCACCTGCTCCTGTGTAGAGAGACCAGCTCCTCATTCCCACACTCCTGGGAGTTCAGGGCCCTTTCTTCAGTAACTCCTGCTCAGTGTTTTTCCTTGGCTCACACATTCTCTTCAGCACTGCAATGGGTGTGTAGGAAGCAGCTGTGTTTCTTCTGGGCACACTTTCCACAAGCCCAAAGAAGGCACCTTTAGAAGGCCTGGCTCTACAATGGAAATGCCATTTTGCCAACATTCCCAAGTCCACTGAGCAAATCTCAGATTTCAAAGATGTCCAGAGGTATTTGACTGTCTAGAGATTTGAACTAGAAAAATGACCTTTTTATTGTTGCCACGTTGTTCTTTGGGTGGTTCAGTTCTCTGCCTCCATTCCCAGGAGAGTGCAGGATGTTTGTGTCAGCAGCACAGAGACAAACAAGCAGCTCGTGGGGCAGAACAAGAGCATGGAGGGGGCACGGGGACCGTGTGTGTAACCCTACCCAAACATCCACCCCTCAAGCTCACATTTCCATGTGCAGCCCACACTTGTATGGAGCTTTGGTGGTCAGAGGTACAAACACACAGTCCCAGCTCCAGCCTCCTCTGGTGGGACAGGTTTCCTGCCCTCAGTGACTCTCACCTCTGTGGGTGGCTGGGGCTGTGGGAGGGCTCAGAGAAGGGCTCAGGCAGCCTGGAAGTGCCTTTGCTGGAATTCCTTTGCCCAACACATCCTCAGGTCACATTCCCTGCTCCACAGCTGCAGCTCACTGAGATCCACACTGCTTCTGGAACACATCCTGGCCTTTCTCTTCCTGTGCTGCTTCTGACTGATTAGAGAAGAAATCCTTGTTCTCAGTCCCAAGGCTCTTGTTCCTGCATCCTATTCCCATGGTCCAATTCCCCACAGCAATGCCATTCTTCCTGAGGCCACTCTGATCCTCCTGGATGTTAATAGTACCTCCCAGCTCCACAGCATCAGCAACTTTGACTCCGTGTTCTGACAGTTGGTGCCAGGGTCATTCCCAGAAATATTTTACAAGGTTGGTTGCAGGTCTGATTCTTCAGAAATGCAATTAATTGGCCCATTCCAGCCCAATCCTGCTTGGTCCTTTATGCTACCATTTATTTTTTTAAAGAGTGTTCTATCTACAGCAAAATTCTTATACCAAGCCTTGTCTTCCATGGTTTAACTACTGCTGCCCCAGCTGATATTCTGCCAAATCCTACCCTGCTGTCCACTAGCCCTGAGCAATGACATGTCCATGGACATCTGGTGAACTGAATCCTCTCCTTAAATCCCCAGGTGCTTATTGGGATGCCTGAGTAGGGGTAGCTAAAGCACATGGTTTGGGACCTCAGGAGTGGAATATGTTGGCCCTGAAGGCTGGAATAAAGAACACCCCTCCCACAGCCTTGCTGCCACTCACAAATGGCACAACACTGCCCTGAGTTTTCAGTGCCACAGAACTGCCTCCATGGAGTGCGTGGAGAGGATGTTAAAGCAGTGAGGCACAAATGGAGAACCGAGAATAATAATTTATTGTAGAATATATTAACCAGATTCCCAATGCCCAGGTTTGTGGGCCGTAGAGAGCTGTCAGCCATAACCACATGACTGCCATGCACCTGCCCAGCATATTTAGTGGGAATTTTGGAAAGGACAATGTGGTTCTGCAGGGCAACTGCAGGTCTTTTCTCCTGGCCTTGTAAGCCCCCAGTGATCTGGGAACCACAGCTGTAGCTCTAGACAGTGTTCAAGTTCCTTTGTTCCCTTCTTAGAACTGAGATTAAAGTATCTTCCTTCAAAGAGGCGAGAATTTCAAGGCAAAAATTTATTCAACAAGCTGATCCACTAAAATCAAATGAAAAATCTGATGCATACAGAACTACTGTTAATAGGAGAACAGGTTTACAATGGCAAGGCTCTCTAGTTTTTGCTCTATA